GAAGAAGAATGAACTGGGAAGGAGGATAGAGAAAACAGTGCAACAATGAATGAATGAGAACCCAAAATCTCTGTAAATGTTCATTAAAACTAATAAAATTTAATAATAATTTTTTAAAAACTTAAAATAAAATCTCAATTAAAAAAATATCAATTTTAAAGAATAAAAATAAAGACAAACAAATAAAAAAAAATATTATGACTTGAACCAGGCACACTTTAATGCTTACAACTGACATCCTTTCTCTTCAAAGACAACTTCAAAGATAGCTGTTATTGATAACAGCTTTTCCCAATGCCTCAAGCCTTTAGAATCCTTTTTTTTAAGCAATAAAATTTTATTTTATACTGGTTTATTTACAAAGTTCATATACATTGTTTTTCGCACCAGTTCTTTCCCTTTTTCTTTACTCATCCCTTCCTCCACCCATCAAATTGTGTGACCAGATGATTAAGCCTCACCCCACCACCATCCTTACCCTTCTCCTTCCCTCCCCACTTTGGAGACTCGAACAGCTTCTACAATAATGGTCTTATACGGTATTTGTCCTTATGTGACTGAGATAGTTCACGTAGCATAATGCTCTCCAGATCCTCCCAACTTAGGGAGTAATTTACAAAATCATTGCTCCTATGAGCCGCACTGCTCAGTATTCCATTGTGTGAGTGTACCATAATTTCTCAATATCTTCCATTGTGGTTGGACATTTGGGATGTTTCCATGTTCTTGCTATGGTGAATAATGCTGCTATGAACATTGGTGTTCAAGTTTCTGTTTGTGCCTCAGTTCTCATTTACTTAGAGTATATTCCAAGCAGTAGAATAGCTGAGTCATAAGGAATTTATATGCTCAGCTTTTTGAGGAACGCCAAATTCCCTTCCAGAGTGGTTGTATAATTTTACAATCCCACCAATAATATGTAAGAGTTCCTACCCCACCACATCCTCTCCAACATACTGCTACTGGAGTAAGATGGTATCTCATTGTGGTTTTGATTTGCATTTCTCTTATTGCCAGTGAGTTTGAGCATTTCTTCATGTGTCTGCTGGCCATCCAAATGTCCTCCACTGTGATATGTCTCTCCATGTCTGTGCTCATTTTGTAATTGGATTATCAGTCTTTTTCTTCTGGAGGCCCAAGAGTAGACTGTAAAATTTTGTTCTTGACAGAGAAGACCTTATGCATAAATCCGACGCTCAGTTTTTCATAGCTAAGGAAATTCAGTCTGGCAATTTGGCTCATAGGGAGTGATGGGACTGAATCCATATGCTCTGGAATTGTCCTTTCTATGACAGTGACTGACTCTTCATACTGTCTTTACTTTATGAGTAACAATGGTAGGATCCAGAGAATATTCAGGAAGTCAGTAGGATCTCAGTAAGAGAAAGCCTGTAGGATATCCGTAAGAGAAAGCTCTGTCCTTGTCTCTAGCTTAACTTGATTTACCAAAGTAAGTGATGTTTACCAGTCTTTGTTTCTTGTCAGTTTTAGTTTGCCTGAAGGGATACATCTGGACAATCAGTAAAAAGACAGGTGGGCAGCATGACAGAAAACCCTGTTCTTGAGCTGAAGGAAAGGAAGACAAAGTGGAGAAAGCTGGAGAACTTTTTCCACATCAACCAAAAGACCTAGAGGGAGAATTTATTCTGATTCCCAGAATCACAAAAGCAAACTGGGTAAGCTCTTAAAAGGGAAAAAAACAACCAGATTTTTTGTTTGTTTGTTTCCAATGTAACTCACGATACACAGGTAATTCTGATTGAAAATTTCTAGCAAAGGAAAACAAACCAAAGAATAACAAACAAACCAACCCCAAAACAGGGTGCTTGAGCTCCAAAGAAAGATGCATTTTTTTTGTTTCTCCTACTAGAATACAAATACATTAATTTTGAATAATAAACATTGCTGAGTGATGATTCATTCCACAGAATAAATGTATACATTATCTCATGAAGTAGGTCAAATGTCAGGAGAAAAGCATCCCATTTTCCACACAGATTTGAGCATAATGATATGAGACAGAGCAAATAACTTATCTTCAAGTATTTCAAATAAGACAAATGCAATGAACCAATGAAGTCACTTGCTTTTCTTTAATAAGTGAATATGGGAGAACAATCTAACATGGATATATAAGCTAATGCTTCTAGCTGCAGCAGACATTTCACAGCAAAGCTGACTGAAATATCAAAAGCTTCTATCTGTGTTTGCCAATTCTCTCTATAGAACAGATGGAAAACATAAAATGGTTTGCACTTCATTTCAAAATTACCATAATTTTCCTAATAAAAAGGTTATATTTTATATTCTGCCAGATGCACTATTTCCAACCATAAAACTAAATACAATTTTCCTGATATCCAGCAGTATGTTCTTTCTGAAGCACCTTTAAGGCACAGCCTATTAGGGCAATGGAATTATGCCAGAGAGAAGGTCAACTGGGAGGAAAGAAAGAGACAAGCAGAAGTAAAAAACAAAAAACAAAACACAAAAACCACAACAAAAACCATACCTCTTGAGCACACCATCCACATTCTGGACCCAGAGCAAGGCACTTGGCACAAGAAGCTGCATTTGAATCCGCACATCTATTGCTTTCTGTAAGGATATAAAAGGAAGTATGACTGGCTTAGTCCCAAGTCGGGCTGTGTAAACAATTCTAGACAAAAATTTATTTTGAAAATGGAATTAGGGATACCAATAACTTTAAACACACAACATTTAAAAAATGTGCAATTTCTTTGGAAAGCAGTTAAACTGTGCAATATCTTGCTAATATTTCCTGGATAGCTTTTCTCATTTGGTTTCATATGGGCAGCGTGAGAGGGATGGTGAAAAAAGAAATTACTTTAGTTAGATTTTGGGTTTGGCTTGAATTCTACTGCAATCATAGAGGAGCCTCCAAATATTTTGAGTATGTTGAAGTTTTGCTGCATTTAATATTATCTGAAGTAAATAGGTGTTTTCTTTTACAGGGTGTTTACAGTAAAAATAGATCTATCTGTACAGACATCATTCTCAACACATAGAGTTGAATCATGGGAAGTGAATTTTCTGAGACATATTCCTTTTTTAAATTTAATTGAGCTTTTTGTGAAAGTTCACATCGCTGACTAGATTGCTATGTGACAATTCCTGGACAAACAGTTCTGTGGTATTATTATGTTCATCACAACGTCTCGGCATTCTTGTTGTGGACTATTTATTCCATTTGTATTACTCTATTTTCCCTGCTTCCTTTATTTTCTAATCTGTACTTTTAAGTAGCTCTTTTTTTCTTTTTAAGAAATTCTTGGGCGAGCTCTGGTGGCCTAGTGGCAGGAAACTGCACTGCAATCCCAGAAGTGCACGGTTCAAATCCACCAGATGCTCTGCTGAAGAAGGAGGAACAGTCGCCTCCTGTACCAGTCAGATCCAATTTGACGGTACAC